ATTCAGAGATAGTTTAAGTCGCATCTGAATACAGTCACCAGCTCAAAACTTGAAAATCGTGGAAGTCAGTCACGGCAAAAGTCTCCTATATTCCTGGCCACTTTCATATCACAACACTGCCAATAAGATATGCCAACACTCCATAATGCTTTTAGCTCCCAAAACAACTGAAACCAAAGAGCAATACATAGCCCAACACCATCAAACTTGAACTCTTGCACAAAATCTTAACAGCAACAGACATTCTTGCATTTACAAACCAGCTCCTCTATCATTGTCAGACTGCACTGTTATTCTGCTTTACTTTGCTGAGGTCATCAGTGAGGTTTTCTCCCGGACAGAGTTTGATGAAAATGGGGAGCATGCTGCTCTTCAGTAGCTTTTGAAGAGGAACGTGAAAGCTTTATAAAGATGCTGGAATGTGTGATGAATAGTGCTGAAGGCAATGTTAGGTCCATGTTTTTTATGTTTGGAATTGGGTGGTAGGGGAGGAGAAAAGGGGAAGAAGAGTCCTGGGGCAAACTAAGCTGTCACTAATCACTTTTTTGGTGCTTATTTCAAAATTTTACACAGTAAAAAGCACCCTGGAATAGGACCCTGGTGTAGGATCAGAGAAAAGGGAAAATAACAAATTGCTACAATGTGAAATTCCTGTTTTTCAGTGTATAGTGCTATAATTTATCTTTCGTAAATTACAAATGTGAGCTACAGAGTATTTGCCCAAAGTGTGAATTAAATACAAAATTAGGGGGGTTTTGTTGGTTTTTAAGTTACAAAATAACATCACGTCATGAGAATCACCACAAGAGTCTAAACTAGGGGGCTACGTCTACACTGGCATGATCTTGCGCAAGAACTCTTGTGCAAAAACTCTTCCAGAAGAGAGCGTCTACACTGGCATGTGTGTTTGCGCAAGAGATGTGCTTTTGCGCAAGAGCATCCATGCTAGAGTAGACCCTGTCTTGCACAAGAAAGCTCTGATGGCCATTTTAACCATAGCGCTTTCTTGCGCAAGAAATTCATGTTGCCTGTCTACACTGGCCTCTTGCGCAAGAACAGTTGCACAAGAGGGCTTCTTCCTGAACAGAAGCATCAGAGTTCTTGTGCAAGAAGCACTGATTTCATACATTAGAACGTCAGTGTACTTGCACAAGAACTCGTGGCCAGTGTAGACATGCAGCAAGTTTTTGCGCAAGAGCGGCCGCTTTTGCACGAGATCGCGCCAATGTAGATACAGCTGGGATGTTAAGGGCTAGTTGACTATCTGATAAGCAAATGCTTCTCAGATAGTCAACAGGATAGTCAACTACTTGCTTCCCTTCCCCTTGCTGCCTTTATCAGATAGAGGCAGCAAGGGGGGAGGGGATGGAGAGGGATACTTCAAACGGTAGAGCTGCAGGAATTGCTAGACTCTACTGCTGAAGTCCCTAAACTGTGCGATGTGTCTCCCTAGGATTGTGTGGGGGAATATTCGGGTAGAGGCGGATGAGAGTTTTGCAGGGCCCAGGGCACGGGCCTATTGAAGCATGGGGCCCAAGGCAGCACAATTTCACGCATGTGCCACGGCCACAGCTGACAGGTAGTAGCACATGCGCGGGGCCTATTGAAGTGCAGTGTCCGGGGCAGCTGCCCCCCTCACCCTGCCTTATATCCGCCGCTGCATTCGGGGAGCAGGGCATGGGTCAGCCACCACAGGAGGATGTGGAGAGAGCAGCCAGCCAGACTCTCTCTGACCTCAACTCTGCTCTCGTTGTACTCCCAGCTCTTATGCTGGGCCCTGTCCTGGATCTTAGCACAGCTTTGCTCCCACCCCCAAGCCTCAGCCACGTCTCTATTCCCAGTCTGGTGTGGAGTCAAGGCCACATCTGGCTGGGGGCCTGGCTGCTGGCTCCCATTGCAGTCCAGGTATGACTCTGCTCTTGTCACCAGCTGCAGCCCCAGGCCCATCCCCTGCTGTAGCTCCAATCTTAGCCCTCTTATCCCCTGTCCATGCCCTCTCCACTTCATGGGGGGGGCTCTGCTTCCAGCCCCTAGGGGGCAGGGGCCACAGACAGGGTAAGGGGGTGACCCTCAAAAGTTTGGGGAATGCTGCTTTACTTAATTCGGTCACTAGAGAAGAAGTAAGTGGCATGCCCTTTCCCAGTTGGTGTCGTTGCTGAACAGCAGTAGCCTACTGTAAATCAGGTATCTTGGATTCTAGCCCTGGCTCTAGAAAAAGAATAAAGATGACAACTAATATTCAGTCTGAAAGGCAGCATAACTTTAAGTAGCCTCTCTGCTAACTTATTCATAAAATGAGTTGGCAACTCATACTTGATGGCCTCCTGGAATTGGGGTACATGGCCTTGTTCAATAATGAAAATGGTAAGGTTCCTGAGAATACAAATCATCGCCAACAAAAGTAAGTCTTGAACACAGGGCCTGCTTAACATTTTGCTGAGGTTTCCACTTACATTTCATCTCATTTGATTTGGAGGGATAAAAAAAATAAGGATACTAAAAGATCATTTAACTAGTTACAAATCACAACCAAGAAATTGAATAGTTCCAATATATACATAGGGAGTTGCATGCTATATTTGACAGAGACTCCCCCTGACCCTTCAAAGACCACTGTGGATACCTCAGTGGAGACAAAGAAAGAGATCCTTGCCATGAACAGCAAGGAGAAGGAAAGATTAGACTAGCGGGGGATTCCAGCCAGGCTGCAAGCCAGGAGCTATTTATGCCCCTAGTGTAGGCAGACTCATCAGAAGAGTGCAGAGCCCAAAGAAAGAGGAAGGGAACTCTGGGTAGTCATCAATGGACTTTTACTCTTAAAAATCATCAAAAAGTTAGAACCAACCTCTAGCACAGTGTTTCTTAAACTTTTTAAGACTGAGGAACACCAAATAATTTTTTTATGGGGAACATCAAGGAATTTTTTTGAGCAGAAAAATCCCCCCAAAACAAAAAAAGCCAGCCCCCAGGGAAAATTTGTCAAGCAAAACAAAAAAAATCCACCAGACCAGGAGGGAGGGTAGAAGAGGGTCTCGGGGCAGGATGTCTGGCCAGGAGAGAGGGTAGAGGAGGGGACTTGGAGCAGGGTGTCAGAGCAAGCTGGGAACGCAGGGTCTTGGCAGGGGGAGAGGAGTGAGGGGGGTTTCAGTGAAGGGTCTGGGCATGAGGGGGGACACTTACCTGGCTTGGCACCCTGATGCAGCAGGGAAAGTCTCCAGGGAGCATGCTCTTGCTCGTGTTCATTCGTGCGTGTAGAGCTCAGTTCCCACCCATGCAGCAGGGAACCCAGCGTAGCTGCAGCACCAGGCCAGGCTTCCCGCTGGCAGGACACCGGGGGGGGAGGTGCTGGTGAAGAGTAGAAACCCTGACTGTCCCCACCAGATTAAACTCTGGGGAGGAACACAGGGGAGAGGGCAGCAGCAGCGCACGGGGAGAATGTTCATTCGTGCGTGTAGAGCTCAGTTCCCACCCATGCAGCAGGGAACCCAGCGTAGCTGCAGCACCAGGCCAGGCTTCCCGCTGGCAGGACACCGGGGGGGGAGGTGCTGGTGAAGAGTAGAAACCCTGACTGTCCCCACCAGATTAAACTCTGGGGAGGAACACAGGGGAGAGGGCAGCAGCAGCGCACGGGGAGAA